GTTTGTCCGTACACGTATTTTTGACAGAGATATCCACAGATCCTGCTGATCTACAGTCAGTCCTGTAAGTGATGCCCCTTCTCCCCGCGTGATTCACTTTAAAATGTTTTTTATTTTTCCTAAAGAGAAGACGGTTGATTGAAAGCAGGAGGAGCTCGAGTTGAAATGTGATCTCAAATGTAACTGGAGGAGAAGCTGAAAAAACTTGCAGTGTTAGGGTTTGCTTGAATGAGTCATCTTTTAGTTTAGCACTAAAAGATGTGTCTTCAGTCTTTTTTGGGGATAAGATACTGATGTCAAAATATATATAAATGTATTAGAGGGAGAGCGTTACATAGTTACTTCCCTTATCTCAATCCTTTTTCACATTCCAGTGTGTACTCCTTGTCTGAAAAAGGCCTTACGAATACAACTAAAATACTGCAACATACACGTCCTTGGGTGCTATGCACCACTGGTTCCCGAGAGAGAAGTATTTTTTTTTTTCTTGTGTAAGAATCTTTAGTGTTGGTTTTCTTTTTCTTTTTCTTTTGATAACCTGTAGCTCATAAGTATTGGGATACATATCACTGATTTTTTTTCATCACAATACCTCCCACAAGTACAGTTATTTTGCAGTTGTATGTGCATTGTGAGTGTAAAAGTGAGTATGATATCCCTGTTAGAGAGACACACACAGCACTCATCTGGGGAAAAAAACTGTTAAACTTGCTTTTTGTTTTTTTCTTAAGCAGAACAGGCTTAGGTTTGCAGTTACTGCCATGTCAGATTGAGTGGTTTGGGGTTTTTTTTTTTGTTTTTTTTTACCAAACCTGGGAGTTTTCCATTTTTTCCTGAGGCACACAGAGCAGCTCAGGCTCCCACTTTCATTGATAATTTTTCCGTTAATCATGTAATACATAAATGTGTGTCTGGTTTTGTTGTAATCTAACCTTGATTTTTACATGTGTTAGACTTTGGGAAGGAAAAAAAAGAACAGAGATACTTTGAGTAGTTCTCTTGCTGTATCCTGGCAACTTGGCAGTTTCAGTAATGTGTAATCTATCACCACAAATATCCATAAAGTTGTGTGGGGGTTTTTTTATTTTATTTTTTTATTTTTTTTACAGTGCTTACTAGTGTATCATGTCAGTGTGGGAGAGATGAAAGTTTAAGCATGCTCTCCTCGCACCACATACGCATTCACACAATCTCACATGTGCAAACTATACCCATCTGTAGTTGTGTTCAGAGCAGGTGTACGCTAACAAGTAATATTGTAATCTGAGTATTTATCACTCTACTCAATAGAATGTAGCATCAGTGATTTATGCTGTGGGGGGAGAATGCAGTGAGGTAAAATACGCCATCCCACCCATGACAGACCTTATCCAGGCAACTGGCCGGCAAGTTGCCTCAGTTTGGACAAATGACTACCCAATGATTATCTGCCACTTTTGTTTACAAAGGAACTGTCATTGTAAATGAAAAACTATATTATTTGTATTTAAAAATCATTTCAAATAAAATCTTTTAAATGAGCTGCTTTATTCTTTTATGCATTGAACAGGATTTAATTTTTTATATATTTCTTTTTGTAGTATTTGGTCTTAAAAGAAACATTGCTTAACTTATTGCAGATTGACGGTGTTAGCTTTAGCTCAGGTTACTAAATGAACCTGGTAGCTAGAAAGTAAACATGTGACCACTTTATATAACATCCTCATTTGCATAATGAAGTGAATATATCAAAAAATTATGTGAGAATAAAAAGTAGGTGGGCTGATAGTTTTGTATTTCTTAAGAAAATACAGAAATAAATATATTCATATTAAAACGAAAGTAAACCCAAATGAATTTGAAAGCCAGTTAAACCTAAAAGGTCTATAATCGAATAAGGGCTTCATTTATTGTCAAACTGTGAATTTATTAGGATAATTTTCGTACATTTGTCGGCAGTCTTGGTCCTCTATAAATACACTCCATTTTCAGTGAGTGCCACTTGTTTCTGGAAATGTAACTAGTTACTTTCATATCACTAAAGCACCGAATAGCTAAAATCCTGTGGCCTAAATAACACTTGATCACCAACTGCCACACATACTGGTTTCCTCCTCATAGGAACAGGTGGGAATTCCCTGTCAGTATAATTTGCAACTTTGGAGTGAGTTCTCTATGATAGCATCGTGATTTGGATAATATCAATATGTAGCCACGTGTAACGGCACTGTGGGGGTAAATTATTCTTACATCAACATGAGCCTGATAGAAGCCTTATGAATATTTAAAGCTACTCGGGCACGTAAAATGTTAATCAAATGACTCATTAGACCCGTGTCGATTGTTTTTGTCTGGACTGGGCTCACACTCCCGCACTCCATGCCCACCGAAGGGTGTTTTTGTGTTGTCAAAGGAGGCTGAACCTCTTCAGTTTGAGTGCTACTACTTTATTTACCGTGCCATCTCCCGCTCTCCTTAACCCGGTGGAGATAAAACGCAATAGGCAACAGCTTTAAGGCTATATAAGGCCAGATAGGAAAATTATGCACACCACCAATTCAGTCTCAATTTCCCCCTCAGCTTCCGCCCTGCAGGATCTTTCAACTCCTGTCTCTGAAAAGCATCGGACGGCGCGTTAGGAAGGTGAAGTCTGCCGCTCTGCTTCCCGCCGGCAGCCCGCTGAGCTCGCTCGCCTCCCTGCCGCATCTGCAGGGGTGGAACCCGGACTCGTGCCCCCCCCTCCTTCCCCGGTGTTTGTGCTGCATCTGATGCTCCGTGCACCACCTCTGCACTGTGTGCTCAGCCAGCCTGCTGTGGAGAAATTGATTCCCCGCTGATGAATCAACCGCTTCGACATAGGTAAATAAATCCTACCACAGACTCGACCCTCTCACATCCTGACGTTACTGGACTTAGAGCGCACAAACCCACGGGTGCTAATTTCATTAGTCTAACCTGCAAGGTCAAAATACACTCACACTGGGCCAACAGAGATCCGCTAATTATATTAAAGCATTGTTTATTACAGGATCATGCTCCTTTGATTGTCCTTGTATTGACAAGATAATGATAAACTATATATATATATATA